AGAAATCTCTGTGTATATAACATAGCGTATGCATTATAGTATCTTGGTCGTATTCAAATGTGTTTTAGAGTCCATTTTGCTAAGGAAAAGTAAAAACTCGCCTGGGCTCAGTTGTCCAGCTTCAGAGGAAGAAACTCAATCTAGTTCATTTTTGAAATTCTATTTCAATATTTAAAACCAAACTTGTCAACAGTTTTTTTTTTAACTATTAGTTTATTGAGGTACAATTTATATACAAAAAAAAAAAAATGCTCTAGGTGTAAAGGTATTGAATTCAGCCACTGCTGTGTGGCCCCTGCTCCAATCAAGATGTTGTAGGGGAGGCAACATTTACATCTGCCCTCCTAGGGATTTTTTTTTGTTTTTTGGCTGGGCTTGAGAAATGAACTGATGTAAGACAAGCTGACAGGATAAAAGCATATAAGTATATTTAATATAAGTTTTACATGACATGGGAGCCCTCGTGAGGAAATGAAGACCCCACAAAATAGCAAAACCTACACGCTTTTATCTCAGGTTGAACAAAGAGATGCAATTATAGAAAGGTAAACTCTGTGAGGAAGCTGAAGGAGGATAAGAATTGTTTTGACAAGAGGTGCGCACACAGAACCTTCTCGTCTCCACTTCCCTGCCGTGGTGACACTCACTGTGGTGATTGCTCTCCATTTTGTCATTTATGTCTGCTGCTCCCTTCTAGGCTCAAGTCCCCTGAGGCCAGGGACTAGCCTGTCTGTTTTTGGACTCGTAGGGGGTGAACCCACATCCCTACAGTAAATCCCTGTAAGTCTTCCTGGAGAGAATCAGCCTGGGAAGGAACACCGTCGTGAAGGGTTCTCTGCCCACCTAGCAGCTGCCAGTGCGCTGAGCAGGTGCCAATGTACCCAGTTCTCTGAGAGAGGACTGCACCGGGCTCCATGCAGAGGGGGCGGGGCGGGCTCTGGGTAGCGGGGCGTGGTACACCTGCTAAGTGTGATCAGGATAGAGGCTGGGGTTGGGCCCCAGCAAGGCAAAGGTATTAAAATCCATGTTCCTTTTTCTCCATTCTAGCCAGTTTTCTGCTCTACATTATTAGAGGAAAATTTAGAAATTAGGCATGTGAGGAGGTAAGGAAAGCAAAGACATGGGATTTGGGAAACCACTTAGGAGAATCCTGGAGAGGAAGAACAGTCAGAGCTGCTGGGAGTTGACACAAGTCAAGACAAAGATTCATGGCTTCACTAGGCTCTTATCTAGTTAGATGATGCTGGCAAGGAGATGGTATAGGAAGGGTTAGTGTGGAAAGATACTTGAGTTTCATGAGTTACTTTTTAAAAGTCTGCTCTAAACCAGTGTTTTTCACCCTTGGCACTACTGACACTGTGGAATAGACAGTTCTCTCCTGGGGGAAAAGGGACTGTTCTGTGCACTGTGGGATGTTCATAGCGTCCCTGGCCCCTGCCTGCGACATCCCAGTAGCCACCCCCTCAGCTGTGACAACCAAAAATGTCTCCAGACATTGCCAGGCATTCCCTGGAGTAGCAAAAACTCAGCCTGCTCACTGCTCCTCAACCTTACCCCATAGAAGTGTGGCCTGGAGATCTGCAGCCTCAGCGCCATGAGGGAGCCCCACTCTGGCTTGCTGAGTCAGAATCTCTGCATAAGGTTCCCTGGGTGATCCCTATATACATTCACATTTCAGATGCCAAAAGAATTAGGTTGAATTTACATAAATAAAAGTGATGGGAAAACGAAGCTATTTTTAAAAATGTGATTAAAATGCAGATGTTTTGATGATGCATTTAAGTGGGAACGGAGAGGGTGTGCTGATCTTGTGTCTGGCTTAGTCCTCATGACCACGGGACTGGCTCTGTCACCCCTGGTGTCTGTCCTGTGGCTCGCAGAGAACAGCGTGAGCAGACAGCTGAAACTGTGCAGGGAAGTTTTGCCTGGTAGAAAATGGTTTCTAACCAGGCAGAAATGGTCTCCTGTGACCCACTAAGATCACGTATCACATGGGTGAATAAAATCAGGATTCTTCGAAATGATTAACCCAGCACTGGCCCGTGTATTGGATAATTAGTGGCCCCCAGCATTTACAGGAGAGGGTTAAGTAGGGATGTCATCCTTGCTCTGAAAACCACAATTACCTCTGACTTCTGATGATTTATGATCTTCTTTGTCACAAAGAAAATCATATTAAAGACCCAGGTCATTCAGGGACAGCTTTAAACATATGCACTGAGCACGTTCAGACCACTTTATGCAGATTGGGTAGGGAGTTCTGCTAGATGGCACCGCCCACTGCAGGGACATCTGTAGAAAGTCCATTGTAGGGTAGAGAATAGAACCCAGTTCTTACCTCTCCTTCTATGTGTGCTAAAAAGAAACTATTATGATGGGCGGCTCCAGTGGCTCAAGGAGTAGGGCGCCGGCCCCATATGCCGGAGGTGGTGGGTTCAAACCCAGCCCTGGCCAAAAACCATAAAAAAAAAAAAAAGAAAGAAACTATTATGATGCTGTTGGAAACTGTTAGAGTAGGTGGAGCTGCTGAATGAAGTTATTTGTTGCTCACCTAACAGTTATAGACGGAGCTTCAAATCCATAGAGGTGGCTGTCCCCACACAACTGGCCTAGCGTGGCTGAGGCTCTGCTATCAGTGCATAGTTGCCAAAGTCACCCTGGGCATCTCCATCCCAGCCAGCGAAAGAGGAAACCAAGTGGTGGACCAGGTCCAGGCTTTACAAGCAAATCTCCCGGATGGTGCATGTCACATCCACTTCATTTGCCATAGGCTGGAATTCAGACATGTGACCCCACTCAGGTGCAGGGGAGGCTGGGAGATGTGGCCTAGCTGTGTGTCCAGTAGAAAACTACCAGACAGGTCAGGCTCAGTGGCTCACTTGGGAGGTTGAGGAAGGTAGATTGCCTGAGCTCACAGGTTTGAGACCAGCCAGAGCAGGAGCAAGTCTCATCTCTAAAAATACTTGGCTGTTTTGGTGGGTGCCTGTAGTCCCAGCTACCCAGGAAGCTGAGACAAGAGAATTGCTTGAGCCCAGGAGTTTGAGGTTGCTGTGAGCTATGACACCATGGCACTCTATGGAGGGTGGCATAGTGAGACTCTGTCTCAAAAACAAAGAAGAAGGAGGAAAGAAAACTACTAGACAGCTAGGCCTCTGCCCAAGAGATCTCCAGAGCTCCATCCGAGGTTATCATGCGTCTTCTGTGCCTCCGTAAACTAAGTGTGCCGACGTCGGTCAGCATTGGAGGTTTACTGGTGTGGCTGGGTTTTCCAGGTAGATCCGTACCTTCATCTTCCAGCATAATTACTGCCCAGGAAACCACTCCATTATATGAACAAAAGGACTGCTTTTTATAGTTTCAAAAGTGGGGAGGAGGGACCTCAAAGAACTTTTCCTGGGACCCCCAAATTTCTAGCAATCCTGAATCTTAACAACCTTACAGTACTGATTTGCAGACTATGTGAATCATTACTATCAGGAACTTACTCCTAGATAATGAATGTGATACGTTAAGAGAAACATAGGTTTTAGGGGTTTTTTTAAAGAACTGAAGAGGTCTTCTGTGATTATCTAGCCCATTGCATTCCTTGTCTAATTCAGTAAAAAAAAAAACGTAGAGTATAATTGCTGCTTAATCAGCGTCAGGCTCTCCCATCCTTGACTGTCTGGGTTTGCTTGCTCAGGGTGTGAACGCCATATTTGACATCTTGGTGATTGGCAAATTCAACGTTCTAGAAATTGCCCAGAAGATGCTACATAAGGGCAAGTCATTAGAGGTGAGTATTTACTCTTGTCTCCAGCCCAGACATGGAAAATGTCAAGTACCAGCTGATTTTAAAATGCCATTTTCAAAGTACTTCTTGTGATTTTTAAATTCTAAAATATCCGTGTGCTTAAAGCACAGTGTCAAGGCAGCTCAGGCGGAACTGCCGCACATTGGTACCTGGCTTGGCCACACCCTTATTTGAATATCTGCACCATCAGTGGCTTTGGGGTCTCCTTGCAGAATGCTGGCGTGCTCAGGAATGGGGGCCTGCTCTTCAGAATGGCCCTCCTCACCTCGGGAGGGGCCGGGATGCTGTACATGCGCTGGAAAATCATGGGCACGGGCCCGCCAGCCTTCACCGAGGTGGACAACCCGGCCTCCTTTGCCGACAGCGTGTGGGTGAGGGTGAGTTCCGAGCCTGTTCCCCTCTGGATTGTTCTCTCATCCCACCCACGAGATTCCCAAGTCCCTCGTCCCTCCTGTTCATCTCACCCCTTACCATACCCACAAAATCCCTTGTAAATGGGGCACCTCAGGTTTGTTTTCTATCGCCAAGGATATTCTAGGATGAAAACGGGCTTTATGAGGGTGTATGTAAGCGCCTTGTGTTTCCTCTCTAACAAGGAGCAAAGCCCGGTGTTCCCTCCTAACATCAGGTTCTTGCTGGTCTTGTTAACGCGCTTCCTAACCCTGTGGCTGTGTCGAGACCAAATTGAACAGTTAGAAATCTAACGGTGTCAAGACCCTCTATTCTTTTCCAGTTACTTTTTTTTTTTCGAGGCAAGGGTGTCAAGCCACAAATTCTTAGCTGTGCATTTCACAGAGACCAAAAATCAAGAGGAGAACCGTGGAACCCTTTTCTTATGTTGTTAGCCACACAGGTGACCCCTGGGCCTCAGATTTCCTTCAAGCAGCACGAAAAAAGTGGGTCATAGTTTGGCCAGAAATATAACAAATACACTGTCTAGTCTAATGGCTTTGCTGTATCCTTGTGTATTAGAATATGAATGCATTTAATAAGTTACGGACTACATGTCCTATATACAAATGGGCAGCATTCTGTTTTATACAACCTCTTTCCTTGAATAGGAGCGTGTGAATGCCTCAAAAATGAAGTTAGGAGATATACGTGTATATGTATGATTTTTAAGTTCCATATCAAATAAATGTTTGTTTTCCTTTGACTGACAGGCCATAAACTATAATTACTACTATTCACTGAATGCCTGGCTGCTGCTGTGTCCCTGGTGGCTGTGTTTTGATTGGTCAATGGGCTGCATCCCCCTCATTAAGTCCGTCAGCGACTGCAGGGTAATTGCACCCGCAGCACTCTGGCTCTGCCTAATTGGCCTAATATGCCAGGCCCTGTGCTCCGAGGACGGCCACAAGAGAAGGTAAGCGGCAGCGCTGAATTTTTAACTCCACACGGCTTGAGTCAGAAGCATTTTGCACATCCAGCACTGATGCTTTTAATGATTTCGTGGAGGTAATGTCTGAGGACATTCGTTTGGAATGCCTATTTATGGCCAGGATGGGTTCCATGCACTCGGAATTCATCCCCGGCTCCCAGCAGCCGGGAGCGAGGTTGGAAGAGGGCGTATGGATGAGTGCTTTATCCTCCCCGCCCCCTGGGAAGGAGCATTTTAAGATCCTTTTCGCTGTAGGTGGTAAAGAGTAATTTATGGTCAGAACAGAGAGTGTAATTGATGTGTGCGGTGCCCATTATTCCACAATTCTCCTTCAAAAAACCCTGGTGAATGCGGTGGTGATTCCTTCTGTTGTTGTTGGGTACAGAATAAGCTGGTGTCCCAAAGAGACTATTCTTTCTAGACAGAAAAAAAAAAAAAGTTATTGAGAAAATAATTGGGAAAAACAAATGTGTTTCGTGAAAAAGAAAACTGTTTAAGATGATTTCCTTTAAGTGTAAGTGTTTATAGAATTAGATTAGTAATTTCTCAAAATAAATTAAATTTTAAGTTTACCTGTGTCTTCAATTGGTTGGTAATTGTAAAGAGCAACAGACTTTATTCCCTGTTCATTTACACATGTGAAATAGGATGTTTATTTTTCACTACTGTAGGCACAGGGTCCAGGAAGGGGCCCTAATGGGACTGAGCTTCTTCTGAATTCACTCTCTTGATTCTTGTAGCGCCTTAGAAACGATCGGCTAGTTCTAGAAGTGTTTTAGTGGTCAGCTTTTTTCCTGCGTGACTGAAGTTTGTGGAGATGGAGCAAACAAAAACGATGCCACTTTATTTGAGTTTGTGTAAGATTTAAACTACTTACGGGCTATTCTTATTAAGTATAGAGGGAAATTTTTTTTCCATGAGAACCACATTGAGTAGTTTTTCCATGAAAATCTAATTGAGGCAAGTATCCACTGAACTCTTCAATATCTAAATGGGTTGAGATATAGTTAGGAGTAGATGAACGGGTAAGGACTCACAAATATAGTCATTCTAACTCTATTCGTAGTTGTATGACACACAGGTTTAAGCCTCAGGCTGGATTATAAGCACCTGAGGAATATTCTTGCATCTTATCTCCACACTTCCAGGCTAACCCCACTCTACTGCGGACATTTCGTTTGCTTGTTTGTTTTTTTGCGGACAGTGGTACCTTTTTCTCACTTGGTGGCGTGAAAAAGAAAATTCTTTATTATTAATGCTGCATAGGAAACTTTTCTTAAGAAATTTGAAAATAGCCATTTATTTCAGCACTTTAACTTTTCCAGGATCCTTACCCTGGGCCTGGGATTTCTTGTGATCCCATTTCTCCCTGCAAGCAACCTGTTCTTCCGAGTGGGCTTCGTGGTGGCAGAGCGAGTCCTGTACCTCCCCAGCGCCGGGTACTGCATGCTGCTGACCTTCGGGCTTGCAGCCCTGAGCAAACACACTAAGAGAAAGGTATCAGCTGAGAGTGGTGGCACCACGGAGAACAGGAACGGTGGGACGCATCTCACTAATGATATGTACCGTGTCTCTCTATTCTTAAGAAACTAATTGCTGCCATCGTGCTGGGGACTTTATTCGTCAACACGCTGAGGTGTGTGATTCGCAGTGGCCAGTGGCGGAGTGAAGAACAGCTCTTCAGAAGTGCCCTGTCTGTGTGTCCCCTCAATGCTAAGGTACCATAGCTGCCAGGTTCCTTTTTCAAAGACTTCACTAAAAAATGCCTGGAGTTCTCAACTGAGTAAAGATGTCTACATCATACAGGATCTAGTAGGAGATCATGGCCAAATGTTTGAGTTTGTCTTTGTTGTGGGTTTTTTTTTTTTTTATGGTTTTGCTAAGATTTATTAAAATTCTACTTAGCCAAAATAATTTAAAGGAAATCGTTAAAAGCGGATGTATCAGTGAAGCGGATTACTTAACCGAGGTCCTACTCATCTTCCAAGTGGCCTAATCTCACCCTTCTAAGTGGTGGTGGGGGTGGGCAGGGGTGATGTCCTTTTTCCAGGCTGGGTTTGGGCAAGGCATAATTCTAATATTTGAGTCCCCTTTTCCAAACGCATCTTCTGGCAGTAGCATTAACTACCTTTCTCTAAGCTGTGCGTGGAAGGTGGTGATACCTACGAATGGGCAGTAATTTGGTTCAGGAATTTGAATTATGCTGTGTCTGTACAGTAGTAGGTACAGCTGTCTTTATCGTGCCGTCGAGTTCTGATTCCTTTCCTCAGATTACGAAAGGAGATTATGCCTCGCGTAACAGTGTTTCAGACACTGGCAGACTATGTGCAACAGTGGTGTGTAAGATTATAATGCCATGTTTTTACTGTATTTTTCTGTGTCTAGATGTCTTTAGAGACACAGACACCGTGTCATGGTTGCCTGCAGCGTTCCTTACAGTCACACACTTTGACAGGTCTGTTGCTCAGGAGCACGGGCTGTCCATCCAGCCCTGGTGTGCAGTGGGTAGGTTAGTGTGAGTACACGCTGACGTTCACACAAAGACAGAATCACCCGAGGACACATTTCTCAGCACGTGTCCCTGTCATTGTTAAGTGGCACAGCACTCCACTTTAAAATTGGCAGTGGGTTCTGTTGGAGCAGTCTGGTAGAATTTCTTTCACTTATATCCTTGATGAATCCAAGCTCTTTATTCAACCAGCTGTGCTGCTTTGGGTGAAACTAAACTTTGGTAAAGTTTCAGTGCCCTCTCCTATGAGAAGGGAATAGTCCTCATCTGTTGGATTTGCTGTTAATGTTGAACTGAAAAGGCCCTCACAGTGCTTAGCACGTAGTAGGTGCTCACAAAACGTTAGTTTTTGTGGCCTCATTTAGTTTAGGTTTTTCTTAAGTGATAGGAAGGGGGAGTGCTGTTTGCTCAAGATGGCCGGGCCTAGGAGTGAGGTTAGAAGAATTTGCTGTCAGTATAGATTATTATCATTAAATAATGATTTATTCTTTCTTGGATCATCAGAAGTGGAGCTGCCTAGGATGCTGCTTAAATGTCATCTTCCAGGGCAGGGGCATGGAGTGGTTCTTGGATTCTGTCTCATTTATGCATTCTGTATTTAAGGGAAAGCAGCAATTTCAGGCAAAATTATGTAAATAAAACTAAGGAATAGTAGAGGTTTTACTGTGACCCTGAAGTAATGAATGGTATACTATAAAAGGTGCTGACTGTTTTTTCCTTGGCTTAAAACATCTTGGTCATATTTTACAACTAAGAGACTTCAATAGTAAGAGTAAGTTATCTTGAGCTTTTCATTTGATTTTCTGACTTACCAGTTTATGTTATGCTACCAAAAATAAATTACCTATGATTTAATTTCATAAATGTTACTAGATTTGCTTTATTTTTACTTTATTGTTTGAATAGCAGTGATTACCCCTTCCGTTTTTATAGGTACTTACCACGAGGAACTCAGATTTCTTTACAGAGGCTCTATCATTAATCTCCATTATCTTCTCACTAAGGTTTTAGGGGAAAGGGGCATCATTTTCTTTATTTTTCCACGAGGGAGAAACTGAGACATAGAAAGATTAAGCTGACATTGTGTAGTAGTTTAGGTGGCTAGACAGAGACCTGGTGTGGTGGTGTGCACCGTTACTCTAGTAAATGAAGGCGGGGGGACATAAATGACATCTGAGCCCAAAAGTCTGCACCAAAAAAGTGGTTTTCACACATTATAGCCCCAAACACAGGGCATGCACGTGTGGGAAGACACACAGTCACTGGGAGGGTGTGTGTCTGTGTCTGTGTGTGTGTCTGTGTGTGTCTGTGCATCTGTGTGTGTCTCTGTGTGTGTGTCTCTCTCTGTGTGTTTCTCTGTGTGTCTGTGTGGTGTGTGTCTCTGTGTGTGTCTGTGTTGTGTGTGTCTCT